TTTATATATATATAAACATCTTTCAACGTCCTGATGTTTTCGATATACTGTAGTAATTAATTTTCCATTCTAAGTTCTGTTTATAAGTACGCCGAAAAAACGGTAGTTTTCTGTCGCCTTTATCTTAATTAAATACGGTAAGGATTTTTTTTTGCCGAGAAACGTAATATATATATTTGCTCAATATTTACAAAAAATTACGAGTAACTAAATGAATAAAATTCATTAACTGTTGAAGTGGAATATATTCATGTTGAGTTTTTGGAAAATACCATTGATTTTGTTTGTTTGTTTGTTTTGAATTTCGCACAAAGCTACTCGAGGGCTATCTGCGCTAGCCGTCCCTAATATAGCAGTATAAGACTAGAGGGAAGGCAGCTAGTTATCACCACCCACCGCCAACTCTTGGGCTACTCTTTTACTAACGAATAGTGGGATTGACTGCACATATAACGCCCCCACGGCTGAAAGGGCAAGCATGTTCGGTGGGACGGGGATTCAAACCTAACCACTCCATAACCACCTGGCCATGCTGGACACCCACTGATTTTGAGTTACGACTGTAAGGTTATGGACTTTTGGCCTGTGAACCTTCGACGATCCAACTATTTGTTTATTATCCTCTTAACTCTACCAAAGGGATCTCCTTTTTAACCATAACTTTCAGTATGCTCTGGATTGGCTTTAAGTCTTTTGTCGGAAGCTCGTTGTTATTCTAAACACTGATGTGTCAGTTTTTCTTTTTTTATCAAGTATGCAGAAGAAAATAAACAATATTAATATCCATGATATACCTTTTTATTGTTTTCGTGTATAAATGCTAGTGTTGTGTATGAATACAAACTATTGCATTTATGAACGACTTTCAACTATAACTATAATATAGACTGTGAACAAACTATAAATTTCTGATCAATTGTTTTCGTTAATTTCACTTTATTTATTTTTGATCTAATAATGAATTATTTATAGGTAAATGGCTGAATGTATAGTATATTGATTTCGAATATAATAGATATCACTTAATGATAAATCGATGTCTGTTATTACTGTGAAATTATGTGAACTGTAAGTCGCTATTATTCTTTGATTTATCTCGATTTTCTAGTATTTTCTTTCTAACAAGCATACTGATGTCGTTTGTATTTATTTGTTTATTAATATTTACTTTTCATTTCTCTTTTATCTTAGAGCTCAACCATGATGACTAGCGAGTATATCTCTTTTAAGTCCCTTGAAACGTGAATAAGTAATATGGAGCATTTTCAGTAGAATAATACAAGTCTTTGTGGATTTTTGAAGAATTTGGTAATTTGTCAGCGATATTAGTCATTTTTACACGTTTGTTTCTTTGTGTGTGTTTTTATCGCTGAAACCTTGTAATGGCTTTTATGATTTCTGTGAACCTCGCTTTTCTGCACACATTTGTATGTACAATATTAAGCATGGCGTTAGTCACTGAGGCTCTCACTTGTAATATCAATAATTGTACTTGTATTTGGCGAAACGGTAAACAAACAGCAGAATGCACAAATGGGGGATTTACAACTGTCCCACAAGGACTAGACAGTGGTATTCAGGTTCTTAATTTGACCAGTAACAATTTTCGGGGACTCGGACGTGAGGTATTCGTAAATGCAGGGCTGGGTAATTTGCAGAAGATATATCTAACCCATTGTGGAATTGAATGGATCGATGAGTTTGCTTTTAATCGCCTCACCAATCTAATTGAATTGAATTTGGGTTACAACAAGCTTCAAGACGTTCCCTCGGCATGCTTTTATCATCTACCACGTCTACGAGAGTTGATACTTAGTGGAAATCGTCTTTTTACCGTTCACAACCTTGCTTTTCAATCGGCTAAGTCTTTAACAAAATTAGAGCTGAGCGGATGTCGCATACGTACAATTGGAAATCAGGCATTTGAAGGCTTAAAACATCTTGAAGTACTGAAAATAGATCAAAATAATTTGGAGACATTTCCGGGTAAAGCTACTAAATCTTTACATTCACTTTATGAGATAACAATTGGTGGGAATCCATGGGTTTGTGACTGTAATCTGCGCGAATTCCGTCAATGGATGGATCAAAATAACTTTCCAGTATATGTGCAACCTGTCTGTAATAACCCTTCTCGATTAAGAGGTAAAAGCTGGAACCAAATAAATCTCGAAGAATACGCTTGTCCTCCACGATTTTTAAACACATCCAACGTTGTCAGTGTTTTTGAGGATTTTAACGTAACACTGGAGTGTCGAGTGATTGGCGACCCCAGTCCTGTTATGAAATGGGTTTGGAGGGACAGAACAATTGCCAACTTATCTGAAGGTATTTATGAACGACAGGTGTTTGTTATTCTAGAAAATGAATTTGGAAGAGAGAAAATTTCAACCTTAGAGATCACTTATGTTCAAGAACCAAACGCCGGTTTTTACTCATGTATTTCAGAAAACAATGCAGGAAGAGCTATCCAAAACTTTTCCCTGACTGTTTCCCGACGACCAGTAACTGAAGATAAATCTTCTAGTGAAGAAAAGCCACAAGAAGTGCGAAAAAATGACAAAAATGAAGTTGATAAAGGTAATGATGAAACTGTCATTGGAATGATAATTGGAATTATTGTAGGAGCTGTTTTAGTTTTTCTGATATTTAGTATATTGTTATGGGTTTTACGAAGAAAGCAAAGGTCTAACCAAAGAAGAAGGTCAGATTTGAATCATAAGGCTAGTAACTCAGTTGGTAATTCTGTTCCCAAGAATTCCTGTGATGAAGTAGATTTAAAACTTCTAAGCCAAGTAAACCCCATCGAGAAGCCTCCACGAATGAAGAATTACCAAAATATGCCATCTCTTAATATTAGTCACTACGATCCTATTGTAAGAGAAAGCGATCAGTCACATCATTTGTTTGTGGTTAATGTTCACTTATCACCAGACGCTAACGTAGAGTTGTCTTTAACAGAAGATTCTTCGTGTCAGTCATCTCCCTTACCAAAAAAACGTCACTCTCGAGGTTTGGTGTCGGTTCCTGTACTTCAACCCACTCAGAACCTTCAATCACGTTCTCAAACAAAGCCTTCAGAAACTGTACGACGACAGCATGATAGAAAGCCAACAGAAAGGGAGCGGGGAGACGGTAGTTCAGAACTTGAAGTCGGAGGTTATGAGGGATCCTCCACTCCTTCCTTTGACACATTCCGTTGGCAAGAACTCCAAAAGAGCCTGACGAGTAATGTAAGAAATACCAGTACACCCCAATTGCGCTCAGAAAATAAAACGCCGGACTTGCTTGATCACAGCCGGCGTTCGCAGCCAGAACCCTCTATCATTTGGGATCCTTATGATCATCCATCGGCTTATTTTCGTCCTTCGCTAGAACACATCACCAATGGTTTTCAAGATAAAGAAGATGGCACAGAAGTGTGAATAAAGGCTTACACATCGTTTTCGTACCTTTGCTTGCATCTCCTCTCTCTTGGGAGTAAACTTCAGTATCAACGGATAAAATTGGTTCAATACATCAACGTGTTAATGAAAGAGGTGAATTATGTCGTGTTACAAAACTAAAATAGGAGAACAACTTTAAATATAGCTGATAAAGTGGCTAACGATAATAAACACTTGTACTGTTGCTCATTCAAACGGATTTTTAGTCAAGTGATAATTTTTGTGTCATCTGCATGCTTACAAAAATATAATTATATACGAACAGCAACAATGCGTTTTCATTTCAGAAAAACGCAATTTATATTTGTATGAAAATTATCTTCACAGTTTCAGTAAATTAGTTTTGAAAACCTTTAAGACAGCCCAACGATTCTAAGCATGAACCATTAGAGTTGTTGGTAATATATAAAGCTGATGAGTTACTTCCAATTAGATGTTGTTCCAAATGTGCTATAAACATGCGATATATAAAATATCTATATATTTTGTTTCAACATCAATCAGCTATTAACAATTCACATTTTATATCCACTGATGTGTAAAAAATTAGTGTCAGCGTTATGACTCATTTTTGTTGTTAGTTCCTATTAGATTACTTTACTCTTAAACTTTAACGTTCGTTATTGCGAGTTTGGTTTTGACAATTTTTCGATACATTTCCTTGTTAGGCTATTGTTTAATAAATTGTGAAATATATGTTGTAATGTTTACGTTGAAGATTAAAAATGTTGATACAATATATAAAGTTGTTGTGTTTGCTTTAATGTTTATTTTTCAATTGTAGTAATATATATTTCTCCCCTTTTCAGTTTATTTCTTCTTTCGTACACTTTCAACACAAAAAACATGGAATTTATATTTCAAGGCATATTTTATTATAAAAATAAATTAGTTAATATTTTCAGTAACAAATAATTCACTGCTAGTAAGAAAGTATATTTTCACTGAAATAATATTACACAAAGTATTGTACATTATGTCTTACTCACCTTTAGTGAGCCCTTCCCTCGGCGACTCAACGGTAAGTCTGAAAGCTTTTAACTCTAAAATCGTGATTCGATACTTGCAATAACCAGAACACAAGCCCATTGTGCAGGTCTGTGCTTAAAAACATACGAACAAACCTTCAATGGTCTAAAAATTGCAACTAAAAGTAATTTTTTTGTCTCATTTTGGAGAAAGCAATCAATCTATCCAGAAACTTTAACTGATGAAGTTGAGAGGTATTTTACGGATTATTAATTATGAAACTACAGTTATTATATACATGTATCAGCGTAAACTTATAAAAAAGTATTTCCTACAAAAAATAGAAAGCAAATTTGATTATTATTAGACCTGTATGACGTATTACTTTTATACTTATGTCTTAAAATTCAATAAAAATACATTTTTGCCACTATGTTTATATTCTGTGTGATATTATAAAACTTCAGTTTTACTAAATTAGACAAGGAGAAGAAAAGTGGCAATAAACTATATATATATGTGTGTGTGTGTGTGTGTGTATGTATCATAGTATCACAAAACAAATAATAACATGTACACAGTGCAGAATAAGTGACCGTTTTTATATTTCTCACACAAGAGACAAATATCTTATTAAACTTATATCCAAGATATATATAAAACACATTAATTTTAATCTACAAAGTAAATTAAAATAAATGTTATATAGATATATATATATATATATATTATCACGACAATAACTAAAAATGTTAGCTTATTATTTAAAATTATTAACGTATTATATCACTTGTTGAAAATTTGTACTATGTTTTAAGTATATACATGATTTTGTCCTAGAAATGTTTCTTCATATTTCAGAATTAACAGCTTTGTACTACAATCTCTAACTTGTTTGTTAAGTGATAGTTTCTTCCCGAGGCAGGCACCAACCAGACAGGCTTCAATAAATTTTAATGATCTCATCATGTGATATTGTTGAAATCCCTGTTTCTATAAATACAACTGGGAATTTATCCTTAAATATGACTTTAAACATGTTTTTAGTCTAATGATATAACAATGAAGGAAAAATATAACTTATGATATCACAAGCTGTTAAACTGTCTTAAAGGCCTCGAGATTCGTTTTTTCTCCTATCAATCTATATCCATAATTATTCTTCCATCTTTAAAAAATACATATATTCGTTATTTTCACCTCATAAAAGCACAATGAAAAATTCACTTACTATTTTTAAACGGACTTTCGCTAACTATTTTTGAAAAAATTCCTTGCGCAATTTTGAAATGTCTAGTGCGTCTCACGACAATACTTAAACACTTTCGACTAAATTGAAATAATGCAGTAATGGTAATATATTCATGCCATTTTTTAGTTTTATTTTAATGCGTGATATTGAAAATTTCTAGTTTAAAACATGTAAGTAAAATTTTTTCACATGTTATATCATTACAGTATCACTTGCAAACAATTACTTTCGAAACAAAGAAAAAATAATAATATACCTGTTAAAAAGTAATATCTCAGTACTTAACTTTAGAACAAATGCGTATAAAGAACTTTATTCTTAACTAGTCTAACACTGTATACCATAAATAAGAATAAACAATGGCTTTCTGTTGTTAACTGCTGCCAGAAGGCTTTTGCCCCATAATGAAAGTCTTAGCTAAATGCTATTTTATTTAAACCTTGACTTTTACAGCGTATATTGTATGTCAGGTATGCTAAAATATTAACGTATAACATAATCCAGATGGCATGGTAAGCTTCGTAACGACAGGGTCCTAAAATAAAGTGTACTAGAATTACTTTTACGTTTGCTTGTTATTGGAAAAAATGGGTTTCAATTTTGAATTACATCTCCGATTTTTCTTTATCACACTTATGGATAAATAAAAACATCATTTTGAATATAAAACATGGAAAATAATTTCAAGATTTCAAAAAGTGTATCATTAATAGATATAATAATGTTTAGTTTTTACTTCAGATATTTTTCACATCAATGAAAATACATAATAAACACCATAGAAATTTAAATAATCTGCTCTGTTGAATACCTCAACGTTTTAAGTTGGTAAAGTTGTATCAGAAGAAGAAAAGAATATTAGAAAACGCTTAAACTTGAAACAGAAAGAATAGAAATTGAAACATTACAAGCTAGATCGGAAAATCAAAAATTGAAATGTGTAGAAATCAATTCTAAGGTTACTGAATACCTTAGACAGCTTTTTCACAGCGAATAAATCTCTGAAATTTTGACTGAGCATTGGGAGAAATGTCAAGAAGAAGAGAGACGGAGCCAGGAAATTCAGCTGAGGAAAGAAAAATGGTCTTTGGAACAATTAGAATAGGATGGTAAATATCCTGAACGAAGTAAAATAATACAATCTAACCCCAAAAATAATGGGAATGAACTTGGATTTGCCTATAAAAAATACCAAACTTCCCAAAAGAAATAAAAAAAAAGGATTGTCGATAAAAATAGAGAACAAAATTTACATCATTCACTCTTTTCGAAAAGATATTATGATAGAAGAAGATTTTATAGCAGAGACAATTCAATATTCAAAAGTAGAAATCAAGGTAGAACACAAACATCTAGATTGGGCACTGTAAACCAAACAAGCATGGCTGCTGGACGACAAAAAACTTCTAGTATCCCCCGTTGAACACCTGAAGGTTTTTGAATTTAAGTTAAAAAGAATTTATATGAAAATGAAATTAGACTTTTAAAATGAGGAAGTAACTTCACAATAAATAATACACCTAATGATATTCAAATTAAAGAAGATCTGCATGAATTTACTAGGAAGTTAAGATTTAAAGAAATTTTTCAATGAAAAAGATGAAGATAACTTTTGAACAGCTAGGAATAACGAGTTAAAAGATGATATAGCCAAAAGAGTAAAAAAAAGCTTTGAATAAATTGAGAAAAGATGACAGAATTATCCCCCAAAAAATATAAGGATGGTTGTAATGAGAACCAGTTATTATAGGAATATAGCGCTAGAGCACCTTAATAAATTGTACCCAAAATAAATAGTAACCATTGCGAGAAAATATCTAATAAGGATTATATAAAGAACATGAAAACGAAACTGATAGAAAATGTGACGAGTTTTGGAAGTTTATTTTCTGAGAAACAATCGAAATTAATTTTAAGGCAAAATAAATTGTAGAAATTTCAAATGTCACCAAAATTGCATGAAGGTAAACTACTAAAAGAAACTTAGAGAGAGAAAGATCGGAGTGTGTTCGGTTACCAAACCTTTTAGATATGTCAAGTCGCCCTGTTGTAGGAGGGAAAAGTACAATTACTGAACTGATGAGTAATTCATTAGATGTTATTTTGAAACCTTTTATTTCTAATTATATCAAATTTAAATTATATGAAATACAGTAAAAATTTTGTAAATCAGTTACCAATAGTAGAACCAAATCATATTTTAGCGTCATTTAATGTTGCTTTATATTCAAGTATTTCACATGAATTTGGACTAAAACTAATTGAATTTCATTTTGATAATTATATGGATTGCGTTCACAAAAGGATTATAAGAAATTTATTTTAACTGATTTAACTTTAGTTTTATGTAATTGTTTTTGTGTTTGAAGGGAAAATGTTTAACCAAACCTCGGGAACTGCTATGGGAACTAAAGTTGCACTAACCTATGGAACGCTAGTAACGTGTTTTCTGGAAAGTGAAATACTTGATTTTTTTCCCATTTCGATCACGTAAATTATATAAGAATAACATGGAAAGAATTTTTGGATGTTTATTTTATCATTTGGAACAAAAGTTATAATGTTGAAATTTTCTTCAGGATTTTAAAAGGATTACATGGAACAATCAAATTTTCGATATGAAAATTTCATATCATTCGTAGATGTTCTTGTAAGGATTAAAGAAAATTATGAAGTTATGACTGATTATTACAAACCAACAAATTCACACAAGTTTTTAGATTTTTCGCAATCACTCCAAATCAGGAAAATTAAATATTATTGTTACTCTGGAACAAATAATAAATAACACACAAGGTTAAAATAGGTACACAATTAAAAACATTTTAATTAAGGTCAATCTATGACGACCAAAGATTAGACTCTACATGTTTTAACATTGCAACATAATCAGAAATGAGTTGCAAGACATAATCTTGTCTTATTTATACTTTTTTTGTTGTTGTTAAATAAGTCATTTGACCTATGTACAGGTTTACAATTCCCTCGTGAACATTTTATGGAAAGTCACCCCGCATTTTTGCATAGATATTCGCCGGACCTTCATATCTATTTAATAATACATAATCTTTTTTATATTTAATTATTTCCAAGGATTTACAAATATTATTGTCTATAATACATTTTGGTTGAGCCAATATTACAGTTTTCTTTTCCAAAACACCGCATGTTCTGTTTCATGTACATGAGTTTCATGTATGGCTGAATTTTCAATTTTTTTATTTCTTACATATCCTTTATCCTCCATTAAACGATATTTCAATTAAATTACATTTAGTCTATCCAATATAAGTATTTCCACATTAACATTTTCAATTTTATAGAAACAGGAATCTAAACCTGTACATAGGTCACATAACCTATTTAACAAATGTATATATATAACACGATTATATCGCGCAACTCACTCCTGAAGACGACGTTGCAACATTGAAACGTGTAGAGTCAACTTTTTTGAAACGTTACTAACAGAATAACCCTTTTGTAAACAGAGTTTTTAAAAAGAAATAAAAAT